AGGACTCAGACCACGAGAAACAAGATTCTCTGGTGTGATGAAACCAAGATTGAACTCTTTGGCCTGAATGCTAAGCGTCACGTCTGGAGGAAGCCAGGCACCATCTCTACGGTTAAGCATGGTGGTGGCAGCATCATGCTGTGGGATGTTTTTCAGCGGCAGGGACTGGGAGACTAGTCAGGATCAAGGGAGAGATCCTTGATGAAAACCTGCTCCAGAGCGCTCAGGACCTCATACTGGGGCGAAGGTTCACCTTTCAACGGGACAACGACCCTAAGTACAAAGCCAAGACAATGCAGGAGTGGCTTCGGGACAAGTCTCTGAATGTTCTTGAGTGACCCAGCCAGAGCCCGGACTTCAACCTGATCAAACATCTCTGTAGAGACCTGAAAATAGCTTTGCAGCGACGCTCCCCATCGAACCTGACAAAGCTTGAGAGGATCTGCAGAGAAGAATGGAAGAAACTCCACAAATACAGGTGTGCCAAGCTTGTAGCGTCATACCCGAGAAGACTCAAGGCTGTAATCGCTGTCAAAGGTGTTTCAACAAAGTACTGAGTAAAGGGTCTGAGTACTTATGTAAATGTATAATTTCAGTTTATTATTTTTAATAAAACAATTTTTACATCCATTTTAGAATAAGGCTGTAATTTAACAAAATGTTGAAAAAGTGAAGGGGTCTGAATAGTTTCAGAATACACTGTAGGTCCCAGCCATAGTTACACTACAGCTAACACCTACTAATTCACATCAGATTACCTTTTTTCATAGTATTGTAACAGAGCTGTTACTTTTGGTGTGGCCCCGTCCTATATTGATCACTCGTCCCTATTCAGGGGCCCGTAATGACTCTCCCTTGTTTCTTTCCTTCCAGTCGCTGGTGGACATGGCACCCAAATACGTCCTGGAGCAGTTTCTACAACAGGAGCTCCTCATTAACATCACAGTGCATGAGATATGTGCGCTAGTTTAGAGTTGCAGTTGCAGAACAAATCTATTGGTACACTTGCACCTTTCTTAAGTAATTCCCTATTTCTTCCCCCAAAAAATTGATGAAATTGAATAAAACTTTTGGTCTCCACACCTTGTCATTGGATTTTCAGCCTTGCAGAAGGATTTTAGTTTTGTAAACCTAAGTTTACCATTTTAATTAAGAAAATAAAGATAAATGGCATGGACAAAATTACTGGCACCCTGGAGATAGTACTTGGTTGCACAGCCTTTGGCCAAGATAATGTAGCCATCGATAAGCTTGCCACACCTTTCTACAGGCAATTTGGCCCACTCTTCAGCAGCAAACTGCTCTAATTCTTCTATATTTGAGGGATGCTCTCCACCAACTTCTGGTTTCAGATCTCGCCATAGGTTTTGGATGTGATTCAGATCTGGACTCTTCGCTGGCCAGTCTAGAACTGTCCACTGTTTCTTCTTGAACCATTCCTGTGTGCTTTTTGACCTAATAATCTGCATATTTCATGATGCCTTGCGCATGTTCAAGGCCCCCAGTACCAGAGGCAGCAAAGCAACCCCACAGCATTATCAAACCTCCCCATGTTTGATTATAGGGAGGGTGTTCTTTTCAATAAATGCTTCATTTGGAGGTCAGTAAACAGAGCGCTGATCTGTATTGCCAAAGAGTTCTAATTTTGTTTATTTGTCTACAGAATATTTCCCCCCAGGAAAAAAAATAAAATATATATATATATATATATATATATATATATATTGTCACGTGCCGAATACAACAGGTGTAGACCTTACAGTGAAATGCTTACTTACAAGCCCTTGTTTAGGTGTTTTTTTGCAAAGTTCAATCAGGCTTTTGTGTCTCCTTCAGCAGTGGGGGCTTCCCCACAACCAAACAAAGCATTCAAATAAAATAACATGCATCAAAAGAACCCTGGAATGGTTAATTGATGGATACAAGAAGCATTTGTCAGCAGTTATCTTGGTCAAAGTCTGTGCAACCAAGTACTAGCTTCAGGGTGCCGATAATGTTGTCCATGCCATTTTGTCTTTTATTTTCTAAATTACATTTGTAAACATAAGTTTACAAAAAAACAATTGGTTCTGCAATTTTGAAAATCTAATAACAAGGTGAGGAGACCAACATTTTATTTTAATTTCAGCTTATTTGAGAAGAAATTGGGAATGATTTAAGAAAAGTGCAAGGGTGCCTATATATTTGGCCGCAACTGTATAACCCGCACACACAGTGTCTTGCCTAAAGGGGGCTTTGAGTGTGTTCGAGTTGGCTTACTAAAGCAGATGAGAACAGATAGAACTCAATGATTGCAGATAGGGGAGGTACATCTGCGACAACTGAAAGTCGGACACTAGTGGTTTTCTAACAAGGCTCATATCAACATGGCAGTGTCAACATAGCTGGCGTTCTACAGCTGCACCATCGAGATCATCCTGACTGGTTGCATCACCGCCTGGTATGGCAACTGCTCGGTGCTACAGAGGGTAGTGCGTACGGCCCAGTACATCACTGGGGTCAAGCTTCCTGCCATCCAGGACCTATATACTAGGCCGTGTCAGAGGAAGGCCCAAAGAATTGTCAAAGACTACAGTCACCCAAGTCATAGACTGTTCTCTCTGCTACCGCACGGCAACTGGTACCGGAGCGCCAAGTCTAGGCCCAAAAGGCTCCTTAACAGCTTATACCCCCAAGCCATAAGACTGCTGAACAATTAATCAAATGGCCACCCGGACTATTTACATTGAAACCCCCCCCCCCCCCTTTGTTTTTACACTGCTGCTACTCGCTGTCTATTATCTATGTATAGTCACTTTACCCCTACCTACATGTACAAATTACCTCGACTAACCTGCACATTGACTTGGTACCGGTACCCCCTGTATATAGCCTCGTTATTTTATTGTTACTTTTTATTTTATTTTTTAACTTTATTTTATTTAGTAAATATTTTCTTAACCAACAATGCAGTTCAGGAAATAGAGTTAATCATTTCACGGTAAGGTCTACACCTGTTGTATTTGGCTCTTGTGACAAATAAGATTTGATTTGATTTATAAAACTTTTCCTTCAGAATGTCGAAATAACAGTATGAAAAATCTATGCACTAACTGTAAGTCGCTCTGGATAAGAGCGTCTGCTAAATGACGTAAATGTACTTTATAAAGTATTTTTACTTAAGTACTTTACACCACTGGCAGTTGGAATGGAGAAACTGTGGAGACTGCATAAAAAAACTGCATGACCTTTGATCATTTGGTTTTTGTAATGTTCATGCAGTCGACATGTAGACAAGTCTGACAAGTTCTATACCCAAAATGCAACACATTGAAAATTGGCGATCAGCACTGATCAATGATGGTCTCTGAGTGCATGAAACTGATGCGCTCAAACAAGCCCCATGTCTTTATACTACATAAACAAAATATTATTATATGCTCTTTCATTTGAGTCTTTTATTTCCTATCCTTTTAGCTGGTTCCTGAGCACATAGTGATGACAAAATAAGAACTGTCAGAGTTGCTGCTGCGATAGTATCTTTTTAGCACTGAATGCAGAATTATTTCTATACCATGCAATACACAATGCATGTCTTTTTTAGTTGCCATGTTCCACACTAAGACACGCACACACAATTCATGAACATGCTGCAGTCATGATGTACTATGTTGCCATAGTGATTCCTTGATTGATGTGTCAGTAAACTGAAGGAGAGCCAGTTACCCAGGATTCAAGCAGGAGACCCCGTGGCCAGATACTTTGGACTGAAAAGAGGACAGGTGTGACACACTCTCACACACACACAAATGACTGAGGCGTTTTATGTGCAATTTTTGTTTCCTCCTGTGTTGACCGGCAGGCCTGTCTGTTCTGACAGGTAGTGAAGATCATCTGACCTAGTGAGACTGCAGGAAGATACATCACCTACAGGCTGGTGCAGTAAACACACACACACCAGCTCTAGATTATGGACCAGAAGGAGTATGAGATTGTGGACAGGGAATGGCTGAAGATGTTACATATGAAGAAGAAAGAACATGCTCTCATCACTTTGTCTTCCAATAACTTTTGTGTTGACTTGCTTACCTTTTGGCACTGCTAGTTTTTATGAGAATGCTTGAGGTGAAAACCTCTGCATTTGTTGGATTTTTTAAATTATCATTTTTGTTTTCTAAGGGCAAATTATTTATTTCAGAAATGATTCCAATTGTTTTTAAAATCCAAGAGCAAGGCAAGGTCTTTTCACATTTGAAAACATGTCCCACACAACTGATTGAAGCTGAATGCACACTGAACATTTGTGTTCATTATTACCGTGACTGCAGTTACTGTTGCAAAACAGGCAGAAATCTCAGCAACAATCATTGGGAGTCAAACATGTGCATAGTGCTTGGCTGTTGAATTTAATGTCACTAATGATATACGACATCATGTTAGAACTGTAACAATATAAACATATGTAATTATCAGCTCTCAATGACTAGCACCCCGACCAGCAGCAGTGCTGAAGCATTGGTGTGTGAGTTCACAGGCAGATGGCAGGCTAGAGTATAGACATACCATATGTATACACCATACAAGGGGTGTACAGAGAGAACACAAAAAGAGGAAATTGCAGGCACAAAAAAACTTTAAATGCACATTCCTTCCTGGTATCTCACCAGGTAATTAAAACAATAAAAATAGATTTGTGTAGCATTTTGGCAAAACTGGTTTAGAAAATCATACCTCAAGTCACAACAGCAATTTAATATTCTGCCATCCAGTCAGTGTACTGACTTTTTCCTCAGTAGTCAATGCATTAAAATAGAAAGTTGGAATCACTTTCATTCCAACTCCAATTTCCCAAATAAATTCAAATTTGTAGAATTCATTAAAGTACTTTTTCATTTGAAAAACGGAATTCCATTTCCATTTTTTACAGAAGTTCTTCATTGAAGAGTTCAGGTCCAGAGGGTCAGTGGGTACTGTGGCTGAGGGTTCCTCCTCAGTCTAATTCCACTGGTCTCTCTGTGTGGTTATTTGGCGTCTGTCCTGTTGTCTCCCTTGTCGATACTCCCCTGGGCTCCTCCCCCACAGTCTCTCTCCTCCTCCTCTCCACCGTCCTAGGAGAAACACACAGAAGAAATGGTTCAATGTGATAAACAATAGTGTGCATGTTTTCATTGTGTGTAAGCGGCCTTCTATTTGTGTGGTTGGTACCGCTCTTCCACCCTCTCGAGGCCCATCATTTTATTTTCCTAACATCACTTGTTTCTAGAGCAGAACCAGCACACTGTTTCACTATGACACCCTACACCCACAGTCGCTCACTCACCTGGCTTAGGGCTGAGGGGGAAACTTGGGTGCCGTTGGAGCAGTCATGGAAGAGGGTGCTGTAGAAGACTATGAGAGTCTCTACGATGCGGGCCTGGTGGGGGTAGTCTACCAGGGAGGACAGGGACACAGTGGCCCCAGAGGGACGGGGACGCATCAGAGTGGGGCCAAACACAATGCCCAGGTTACTGGGACTCATCTTGTTCTCCTGCTCACACTCACACACCCTGAGACGGAGGAGGAGAAAGGGAGGGGAGAAGTAAAGAAATAAGGAGGAGGAAGGTAACAAAAACAGAGGAGAATAAAGGAAAGAGAAAGGAGAAATGGCCACGATGAGCTATTTGTTCTTCATCAAACGTTAGGATTAAGGTTCCGTGTTAAAATCACATTTTATGTGTGTGCGCCTTACTCATGGTCACCTCACCTGCGCAGGTGCTGTGCAATATAGCGCAGTGTGGCTGTGTTAGCCTGCGGCAGCTCCGTTAGCATCAGCTCCCTCAGGCTGTGGACCAGAGTCAGGACCTCCAGGGGAGTCTCAGCACCCAGGTCTGCCAGCACCGCTGCCCCAGCCACCTCACCTCCATCTGGGCTAGGAGACGCAGAACGCAGGCTCTCCTTGGCCAGCCCCATCAGAGATGGATAGAGATGGAAGGGCAAGATAGGCTCTGGCAGCTGGAGAGGGAGGAAGGGAGAGCGAGGGGGGGTGGAGAAGAAAAGAGAGGGGGGGTGGAGAGGAAGAGGGGGACCGAGAGGGAGGGGGTGGAGGGAGGGAGAGGGAGGGGGTGGAGGGAGGGAGAGGGAGGGAGGTGGAGTGGGTGGAGGGAGAGGGAGGGAGGGGGATGGAGGGAGGGAGGGGGGTGGAGAGTGAGGGAGGGGGGTGGAGAGTGAGGGAGGGGGGTGGAGAGTGAGGGAGGGGGGTGGAGAGTGAAAGAGGGATAGTGAGTCTTGAAGTGGAGCAAGAGTATTTTGTGAGTGTATGTAACAGTATGTTACCTGTCTGAGGTAAAGTTTGAGCATGTTGCTGATATCATGAGGAAAGGCTTGGGACAGTTCCACCAGCTCTTTCCCATTCTCAAAGGCCTGGCACAGCTTCTCCACACGAGTCTTCACCCCGTTCACACGGTAGATACCCTACACACACACACTTTATATGTCAAGTAATTATTTCAATGTGTGTGTGTGTTCTATGCGTGTGTGTGTGTGTACTACTCTGTGTGTAAGTGTAAAAGCACCTTCATGCTAAGAGCCCTGCTCTCTATCTCTGTGATGCACTTCCTGATGACCAGAGGCACACCATCGGGGTCTCCCAGCCCCTGCGTGAAGTCCCTGCCAAACAGCAACAGGCGACCTTGTAGCTTCTTATGGCCACACTGGATAGCCAGGCTCTCCAAGCAACGCCTATGGCACGCCAGATAACACTACAGGAGGGAAGACAAGCAAATAATATAGTACCTTTACAGTCAGTAAACAGAGAGAAGACATATTATACAGTATATTCTACCTCCTAGGGGGTGTGTGTGTGTGTGTCTCACCTCCTCACACTCTGCACCCTGGAAGTACACGTAGCTGTTACACTCTCTGCATTTGGCAGGTGTGCGGAGCTTGCGGAAGCGGTGGGTCTTTGCTGCCTTGGACATTCCCACATTCCGGAAGGTAACAGTGGGAACGGCCATCTCAGGCTCTGTCCCCGAACACACAGCAAGAGAAAAGAGGAGAGAGTTCAGAATGAGAAAGAGAGGGTCGTATCCTTACCTAAACTATTCATGCAGTTCTCCCACTGTGTGGATCTCGATTTAGACAGGGTTCAGACAAACAGACTTGAGGAGGACAGTGTTTGTTACCCTGTTCAAACGAGGTGACGTTTCCATCATGTTCCTCCAGCTCTTCATTGGCTTTAGTTACATGCCCTGAAACACACCAGCAACACACTATTATATATCATTGAATATTCTGAATGATACATCGCTGGACCCTTTTCTGTATTCTAGATATTGCTTAGGCTTTATGGTAGCTGTGCTGGAGGTTGACATTCTAGTTTCTACATCAGGAGCTCTAAGGTACCAGTGCTGGAGGACTCCAGACCATAGACTCCTCCCAGACTGTCCGAGTCCCTCATCGTTGACGGCCAGGACTTGTGTGATTGGTGACCTTGCCCTTCAATAAGGACACAAACCACCAATTAGCTTTCAAATTAAGCACCATAATGAAAAATTATAATCTTGGTTCGTGGTTCCTATAAATCACATCTGTGGTTAGAAAAAAATGCTACTCTTCTGCATTTCTTGTGTGGCCTGAAAGTGACGTTCCATTTAGATGACCCCTTACATGAGGCAATCAGGACTCACCATGTCTCTGTGTGACTCCATCCCCAGCACCACCCTCCTCGTCTGTGGTAGGTATGGTCTCCGTGCTGATTGGTGCGTCCGTGGTAGGTGTGGTCTCCATGCTGATTGGTGCATCTGTGTTAGAGCTGTTGTGGCGGGTTCGTCCAGACAGTCTGATGAGGGAAGGAGAAAATTACATCGCTTCCTCCTGAGAATCACAGTAGTTGGTAGCCAACTAACTGGCCTGTTCTGACCCTTTGAAGGCTAACGCCACTTACAAAATGTTTCTCTGCACCTGGTATTTTCTGATCTCTACAACAATATGAATCACTGAAAGGTCAACTGTAAACAATTTCAAGTGTGAACCCACTGGTTTGAGGAGTAGGGCTTAAAGCGGTAGTGAGCTGCTGGCTCTGGGTTCGACAGATGTCTGGCATCCTCTGTGCTCGTGTAGAGATGTCTGGCATCCTCTGTGCTCGTGTAGAGATGTCTGGCGTCCTCTGTGCTCGTGTAGAGATGTCTGGCGTCCTCTGGGCTGTTGTGTAGATGTCTTGCGTGAGCGGCGTACTGTTGTCCCGGCTCGTAGAGCTTGGTGCTCTCACATAGAGTCTGGTAATGGACCGGCAGCGCTGCCGTCTGCATGTGCAGCAGCTGATAGTATGACACCGTGCACTGGGGAGGGAGACATGTTTTCAAGAACTACAACACCCAGGACTAAGCAAGTTGATGGAGACAAACTACAATTTCCATGAACACATTTTGTCTGTCCCATAATCTTGTGGACAGACTTCGTAAACATAATCGAGCAGTTATAACCTAAATGTTGATGTAGACATAATTAGGATGTTTGATTGGGCAATGCAATCCACCTGCAAACAAGTTGAGGGTTTTACTTCCGTGTTAGAGGCGTGAGTTGACTTACAGATCTGAGGGTGTGGTCTGTGTGTCTGATGACATCATGGATCTGTCTGAGAGTGCTGCCCTTAGTCTGCTCTCTCTCCTGGTGCTGCGCCTCCGCCTCGGATATACATGCACGATACACAGCCTCTGCCTCTTCAGCCTGTAGAGTGATACACAACACGGACCAGCCATTAGGTGCGATTAATTTAGCTCGCCTGGCATAACTGAGTTGGCAGAGTTGGCACTTCAGGATAAATGAAAAGGTCTGAAAAGTGCAAACTTGGTCCATCTGGCATGCAAGGCAAGCTAAATCGAGATGGGCTCTCTGCCCCTATTAGCCTAGTCAGCTGACCTTGATCCTGGCCTCCTCCTCCAATCGCTTCTTCCGATCCAGAGCTTTAAGCCCGCCCCCTCCCCCTTGTAGCTCCTCCTCCACCCGACCCCTGGCCTTGTCATACTCCTCACAGCGAATCACGTACGAGCCTCGAGCCTTACGCATGCTACTCTCAGCATCAGTCTGGGAACACACAAACACATAAAATAATAATAATACATTTTATTTGATGGACGCCTTTCAGGGTAATCAAGGACATCTTACATTACAAGTTGCCATTAAAAGCAAGTGCAGTACATACAATTAATTGCATCAATCAAAGTACAATTTTAATCAAAGGACCAGACGAAATCGGATAGATAAAAAGAGGATGGAGGGGTTGGGTAGAGGATACGAACCTGGTTTAGGTTTAGGGGGTAGGGTTGGGAATAGGATACAGACCCGGTTTAGGGTAAGGGTGTGGGTTGGGGGGATACCTAGGTATACTGAGAATGCACAGAAGGGAGGGTAGGACAGAGTCAATCATAGAACAGGCTATAGGCATCCTTGAAGAGTTGTGTTTTTAGGAGGCCTTTGAATGAGATGACTGTGTCTGCATGTTGTATGTGTGGGGGGAGTGCATTCCGGAGCCTGGGGGCAGAGCAGCTGAAGGCCCGGGAACCCATGGTGGAGAGGTAGGATGGGGGGAGAGACAAGGACACCAGCAGAGGAGGAGCGGTGGGAGCGGGAGGGGGCATAGACTGGGAGAAGATCAGAGAGGGAGGTGGGTGCCAGGTTGTGGAGGTATTTGTAGGTGAGGAGGAGTGTCTTAAAGTTAATAAGGGATTGCACAGGGAGCCAGATGAGGATTGGTGTGATGTGTTTGGTTGATCTGGTACGGGTGAGGATTCTGGCATCAGAGTTCTGGACCAGTTGAAGTCTGTTGGTGAGTTTGGTGGGGATACCAGTGAGGAGAGTGTTGCAATAAACCAAACAGGAAGTGACCAGGGCATGGATGAGTGTTTCAGTGCTGGAGTGTGATAGTGAGGGGCGGAGCCTGGAGATATTGCGGAGGTGAAAAAATGCTGTCCTGGCTATGGTTTTTATGTGGGGTTGGAATTAGAGGGAGCAGTCTAGAGTGACACCGAGGCTTTTGACTTTTGACAGAGGGATTGGTAAACCATCTAATCTCACTGAAATATGGAATATCAATGTCTTTCTCGTACATGACATAAGAGTGAGACATGATAACACATGCGCGCCACTAACATGTCAAAGCAACATAGACAAGACATAGGAGTGAATTCACCAGTTTCCTCTGGGCCCTCTGCCACTGTTCTCCGAGCTCTCTGCGTCTCCTCTCATGCTCCTGTTTACACTGCATCAGAGGCTGGGACAGAGGGGTTGAGATAGAGACATGATCTCACTTGTAATAATCCTTGTAGGTGTGTGTGTGTGTGTCACAGGCTGCTGATGGGAGGACGGCTCATAATAATGGCTGGAACGAAGCTAATGGAATGGCATCAAACAAATGGAAACCATGTGATTGATGTATTTGATACCATTCCACTCATTCCGCTCCAGCCATGAACACAACTGTCCTCCCCAATGAAGGTGCCACCAACCTCCTGTGGTGTGTGTGAGATACTGTATTTACCTGTAGAACAGTGTGTATGGAGCCAGTGGTTTGCTGCACCCCCACACTCTGCTCCAAGTCCTGCTCCAGAGCCAGAGAGTAGATGGAGAAGAACGGCATCTGGGGCTGAGAGAGATTTTAATGTGTGCATGTTCATGTTTGTCCGTGTGTGTTTGTGTGTGTGTGTGTGTTTGTTTGTGTGTGTGTGTGTGTGTGTTCTCCTATTACCTGTGCAATGCTCTGCTTACTGGACTGACACAGCCTCTGCAGACCCTTGGCAAACTCCATCTCTGGAACACACAGACACAGAAACTCACACACACACACACACTGCCTGGCTAGCAGAAATTGAAGTGGACAACAAAAAGCTTGGCCCAGTTCCATTTCTGCCCCTAGGTACTGGACAGGTGTATGTAATATAGTTGACGCTCCAAGAGGCCAAGAACAACTGCTGATGGACACAGATAGAACAGGAAAAAGAGACAGAATAATTAGAGGAGGAAGTCATCAACCCACCCAGAGCACTTCTTTTCTCCACGTAGCTGATGACGTCCTTCATGTATCTGGACACAGCCTTGGCATAGGAGAGAGCTGAGTCCACTCCTCCCTCACTGCACTGCAGTAGGAGGTCCACCTGTTCTCCGCTCAGCACTGACACACACACACAGCGACGCAAGCATGCACGCACAGACAAATGCACAAACACACATTCACATGAGAAAGTATGACATGATTGGAAAGGGAAACAGAATGCTTAGACATCGAGGACAACATGTCATTTTGTACTCACTGCAACAGTGCTGTTGGTCACTCCTCCCTTGACAGTCTTTTGCCTGGGCCGAGTCTAAGCCATACAGGTTCTCCATAGACTGCACACACACACACCATTTCCGAGGTCACACAAATGCTTAGACTGAGCCATCCTTCACGACTGAGCCATCCTGAGCCATCCTTTTTTTTTTACACACACACACACTCACCCTGCTCCTCTCTGTTAGCGGTAGAGACAGGAGGGTACTGCTGTCCACTTCTCCCATCAAAAGTTCCGACACACTGAGGGAGAGAGAAGGAGAGGGGGGTAAAATAGGGATAGAGGGGGGAGAGAGAAAAACCTTATCAATGTAGATGCTAGGGATAGTAAAGCGAAACACACTTACCTGCTACTGAAAGCCACAGCCATAGTCTCTATGGCCTTCTCAAAGTCCTGCTTACCCATGGCACTGCTGTCCTTGTAACTAAACCCTGGACACATTCAATCAAATGCACACATTTGATCTCAGTGCACACCCCACCCACACCTTCATCTACACACATTTCAACAGGTGTCCAGTTCTAACAGTAGAGCTCTGACCTTTGACCTTGGAGATGAGCGTTCCGGCAGCAGTGAGGGTCTCTACAGTGTTGAGGAGGGGGTAGGCACCGATCACCTGCCTCAACACACGCAACACCTCCCCCAAACACTCCTGGGCCAGGTCACGACGGTCCAGCTGCCTGTCTGAGAGGTTATCTATCTGCCTGTCTGAGATAGGGACAGACAGCTATTTATTTATAGGTCTAGAACTGAAAATGAAACATGAAGAAATAACCATGAAAAACAGGTTGAGGTGATGTTCATAATTGAAACAGAAGTGCAGTGAGGCAACCATGCGAGTGATTAAGTTATTCCCTAAAACGGAATCACGAAAACTAAATAGAAATTAAACTGAAATGAGAATTAGAAAAAAATACATTTAAAAATGTATTATAATAACCTTGGATTATACGCTCACATGGCAGAATTTGGATTGAATTTGTTTAAAAAACAAAATCAGAACAAACATTCCCCAGAATGCATTAGATCAAACACGGCAGTATGGAAGGGAACAATCGAACATCTCATAATCGTTCAATTATAATCAAACTAATATTTAAAATGGTATGTGTATTCTTTGCATTAATAACTGCATATCCTTTTGATAAAATATATGTCAAATGAATTAAACTTTCACGTTTCACTTCTCAGTTGAATTCGTTTGAATTAAATTCTACTTCCTTCAATTCAAATTCATTAGAATTCACCCCAACCCTGACACACACACACACACACAAAAGGAAGGAACAATATGTTATAGAAAATGTAGGTTATTTGTACATAAACAGACAGTATACAGTGTACACTATACACACACGGCACAGTACAAGTATAAACACACATATAATGAATCAAGCAGGAGGCCATGTAATAAAGCACTGTTTACTGGGAAAAGAGGAAGAACCAGTAGCCGTCCTTCAAACACAGCTACTGTTATACTTCTCCTTTTGTGTGCTTGTTGCTCAGTTGGTCCTACGACGGTTAAAGTGTGAAAATCAGGAACTGTAGTGCTATTGTCTGTCACACTGCCACTCTTGGTGTAGGAGGTGGTGGTGGACACTGACAGCACGTGAACCAACGTAAAAATGTAGTCAAAATGCAGTTTGGGGCTGAAACGTCAATGTTTTAACAAAAATAACTGTGTACTACTGCTTGGACCCCTAATTAGTTTTTAAAAAATAAAACCAGACAGAGTTGCACCTAACTCTTTGTGAATGTACCATCAGTTTGGCTCTTGTTGTCACATTGTAATAACTCACATACCCACTAAGAAAAGGATCTCTCACTCTCCCTCCCCCTTCCCTCCCTTCGTTGTCTCTCTCTCTCCCTTATCTCCTCGCCCTACTTGGAGACTGAGAACAGGAAGTTGAGATGAAAATAGCTGCCTGGTAAGGAAGTGAAGTTTTTTTTTTTTTTTTTTTGTCATTTAGCAGACGCTCTTATCCAGAGCGACTTACAGGAGCAATTAGGGTTAAGTGCCTTGCTCAAGGGCACATCGACAGATTTGTCACCTAGTCGGCTCGGGGATTAGAACCAGCGACCTTTCGGTTACTGGCACAACGCTCTTAACCACTAAGCTACCTGCCGCCCAAGTCACCCTGACATGGCTTAGCTGGGTCGTTCCAAGAAATAACTGCCTTTTGCATCCCTTTGATATTTTTTACTAGAAATTGTGCACCAATTTAGAATTTTAAAAGCCTGTTATATTAAATTAAGTGCCCTTTAATATAGACCACATGGAGAAATTAATAAATCCGATTTTTTTATATGAATAAAGCAGTGGAGGGCGGCTGCTGTTGGGAGGACGGCTCATAATAATGGCCGGAATAGAGTAAATGGAATGACATCAAACACATGGTTTTCATTTGTTTGATACCATTCCATTCACTCCATTCCAGCCATTCCACGCCATTATTATGAGCCGTCCTCCCCTCAGCAGCCTCCACTGAAATAAAGACTTGCTAAAGTGCTAGAATTCAGCATTTTGTCCCTCTGTGCACACTCTGTGACTTCCAGGAAGATTTATACCACTTAACCACAAACTGTCTCCAAGGTTTCATCATCATTGTAAATCCCTAGTTATTTTTGTTGCTTTGACAAAGGCATTTCTGAAGATTATTATTTATTTAAATGCGATTAATGATTCCTTTTATGAAAAAAAAAAAAAACTAGTTTTAAGGTCAACACTGTTACATGAACTGGACTCTCATTATAATATCATGAAACTATTCCTTTTTAAATAATGTTTTCAAAAAGAAACATTGAACATTGAAAAATCAGTGTAAAAGCATTTTCTGGTGTTTTGTGGTGGAAAACTGAGTGGGTCGAGCATAACACGTTAACCCTGTTACACATAGATAGACAGGCTAGAAATGTTTTAACAATTGCATTTTTTTGTGTGAAGCTTGCATTCAATTGCCCCTCCCTGTTGCACACAAGCTTCTATTTCCCCTGTCACAAGGGGATTTATGTCTGATTTAAGATTAAATCGTCAACCCTGTTACTTTATTTGACACTTAATAGGCACTTACTATAGTAATTTTTTGAGATGGGAAAAAATATTTTGTATTAAGTTGAACATGTGCTCTTTATGACAGAATGTTAAAATTAGGTGAAATCTAAAGGTTTTTTTCACCAAGTTCCACATCTGAAAATGCACTGAATTGGTGGAACGACCCAGCTAACGCTTGCTACATTCCAAATCGACCCCTAGACCTCGTAATATAAGGGTTGAGGGTTATAGGAAAGCCTGTGAGCTGTGTTTACACACCAGACAAATATTATAGTGCTGCGTACCTTGTGTGACACACTCCCTCTTCCTTCCTCAGTTTCGCCAGGCATACACACACGTTTCAACATAACTAAGGGCCAGGGTTTTTACCTGACTAAGAAAACTCTGAACTCTAGTTATAGGCTAAAGATATGAGATTTTCCTGGTCAAAAACTCCTGACCATTATAATGCCTCTCTCACCTTCCCACAGCACCATTTCTTTCAGTTTCTCCACAGCCTCAGCGAAACAAGCCACATCCCTGAGCAGAGAGGGGATGTCCTCCACCTCGATGCCCACATCTGAGGCCTCTGTGGTGGGGCTGGAGGCCCAGCTCGCTCCCTTCCCCTGGGTCTTACTGAAGGCCCAGGCTCCAGCCGCCTGTAGGGGGAGGCCAGCCGCACTGGCATGTCGACTCAGGGCTGTGGGCCGTCTAAGGCAGGCTCCAAGGACAGGGGAAGGGCTGGCGGCCGTGGCCAGCCTGGTGCGCAGCAGACAGGCGGTAGTGGGGCAGGGAGGGTCCTGGAGGGATGCAGGGAGAGGGAGGGGGACGTCCAAGCCACCATCTCTAGTGAGTTGTTCCTGGAGGACAGATAGCTGGTGGTGAGACACACCAGAGGACAAGGGAGAGGTAGGGTGGGGAATGGGTGGTAGAGAGCCGGGTAGGTAGAAAGAGAGGAAGGAGATGAGAGAGATGGGGAAGAATTAGAATGGTGGTGATGAGTGATGACAAGGATGTTATGACTAGACGATGATGATGCTGATGATGAAGACAACTGTTGTTGAGAAACCTGTACCAATAAAACAATTTGAAAGGCCATGAGTCACAATGCAAAAGCATATGGGAGAAACACAGAAAGAGAGAGATGATTCAATGAGGATGACCAAGACTGGAAAATTCCCAAACAGTGACAAGTTGACTGATCATTGCCAGGTGAAAGGTGTGTCAGACTGGAAGCCACGCCCACACCTGGCGGCATTGCAAAACATAAGTCCCCTAAAGTTAGCATTAGCAAACAATACAGATGTAACATAAGACAGTTTCCCCCTCAGGGACATTCGTTCTAACTTATCGTACACTACCAATGCTTGAGGCAACTTCAAGTAGATTTAGCTAGTAGCTAAATTATGTATATACCAACGCAAACTCGCGGAGCTTTACAAGCAGTGATATAAATTACGAAAAACATTAAAACGCGCAAGCTAGCCAGGACTGAGGTGCAAATATTGTCTTCATAAAGCTAGGCTAACTTAGCTAGCGAGTTACTTACTGATGAGTTGTGGGACCCAAAGTTTCCCCCTAGACTCTTCTTTAAAACTGACGTTTTATTTAATTCCTTTTTCTTTCTAGAGAACATTTTTAAATAGCATCCTATATATTTTAATATAGATTTCACTCGATTGAGATTGACATTTGCTCCAACCGTTGCTTCCCCAAATTGACTTGTGCTGCTTGGATTGACGGGCTAAACTGGCTATACCAAACTCTGTGGCTGTAGCTAGTAGATGAGGTCAGTCTACACCACGCCTGTAGACTACTGAACTGCATGGCCATACTGACACCTGCAGGGGGAAATATTTAATGATTTCTCACCCGAATGATGGTGCCAACTATGGCAATATAGTGTCCAATCTTGGTGCCAGTGCCAACCAATCAAAATACCTATTTGATTGGTTTCCTAACTAGACCCACAACTGCACATTACATTAACCATATTAGATAATATACGAAGTAATGTTTATGTCATGATATGATTACAGCTTTTTGTAATAAATTGTTTATTTGCAATACAATGATGGCCCATACCACACATACAGTACCAGTCAAAAGTTTGGACAGACCTACTCATTCCAGGGTTTTTCTTTATTTGTACTATTTTCTACATTGTAGAATAATAGTGAAGATATCAAAACTATGAAATAACACACATGGAATCATGCAGTATCCAAAAAAAGTGTTAAACCAATCAAAATATATTTTATATTTGAGATTCTTCAAAGTCGCCATCCTTTGCCTTGATGACAGCTTTGCACACTCTTGGCATTCTCTCACCCAGCTTCATGAGGTAGTCACCTGGAATGCATTTCAATTAACAGGTGTGCCTTGTTAAAAGTTAATTTGTGGAATTTCTTTCCTTCTTAATGCGTTTGAGACAATCAGTTGTGTTGTGACAAGGTAGGGGTGGTATACAGAAGATAGCCCTATTTGGTAAAAGACCAAGTCCATATTATAGCAAGAACAGCTCAAAAAAGCAAAGAGAAACGACAGTCCATCATTACTTTAAGACATGAAGGTCAGTCAATCCGGAAAATGTCAAGAACATTTAAAGTTTCTTCAAGTGCATTCGCAAAAACCATCAAGCGCTATGATGAAACTCGCTCTCATGAGGACTGCCACAGTAAAGGAAGACCCAGAGTTACCTCTGCTGCAGAGGATAAGTTCATTAGAGTTACGAGCCTCAGAAATTGCAGCCCAAATAAATGCTTCACAGAGTTCAAGTACCAGACACATCTGAACATCAACTGTTCAGAGGAGACTGCATGAATCAGGCCTTCATGGTCGAATTACTGCAAAGAAACCACTACTAAAGGACACCAATAAGAAGAAGAGACTTGCTTGGGCCAAGAAACATGAGCAATGGACATTAGACCGGTGGAAATCTGTCCTTTGGTCTGATGAGTCCAAATTTGAGATTTTTGGTTCCAACCGCCGTGTCTTTGTGAGACGCAGAGCTGGTGAACGGATGATCTCCGCATGTGTGGTTCCCACCGTGAAGCATGTAGAAGGAGGTGTGATGGTGCTTTGCTGGTGACATTGTCTGTGATTTATTTAGAATTCAAGGCACACTTAACCAGCATGGCTACCACAGCATTCTGCAGTGATACGCCATCCCATCTGGTTTGGGATGAGTCGGACGGCAGAGTGAAGGAAAAGCAGCCAACAAGTGCTCAGCATATGTGGGAACTCCTTCAAGACTGTTGGAAAAGCATTCCAGGTGAAGCTGGTTGAGAGAATGCCAAGAGTGTACAAAGTTGTCATCAAGGCAAAGGGTGGCTACTTTGAAGAATCTCAAATATAAAATCTATTTTGATTTGTTTAACACTTTTTTGGTTACTACATGATTCCATATGTGTTATTTCATAGTTTTGATGTCCACTATTTTTCTACAATGTAGAAAATAGTAAAAAGAAAGAAAAGCCCTTGAATGAGTAGGTGTGTCCAACTTTTGACTGGGACTGTAGGCCTTGACATTTTGACAGTGATTCTCATAAACGTTAGTTTAATTTGAATACAGGAGTGACATAGTGAGTGACTGCATGCAATCCCTATTATGTTGGCTCTCCTCATCCAGATATAGGCTAACATACATTGAAATGTTGGCAAATGTAGAAGACAGTATCATATACAGTATCTCAAGTGTTTGAGCACTGGAAGCCAAATGGAACTCCTCCCAGTGAATGGAATGGCCTCCATTGGAGTTTGGTATATTTGGAACTTCCATATGTGCCTATTGTACTTTGTGGAATTCATCTCATTACATTTTCAGTCTCTTTTATGACACTGTCTATTCTCAGACTCAGTCCATGTACCTCAATGTATGAGAGCGAGAGATTATTTTCAGGCAAACTTCACCTATGATTTATTTTTTTCATCTAGTAGAAATGTACTGTAGTTCACGTGTCTAGAGTAGAGCCCCATAATGTTCATATACAGTATACCTCAATAGAACCGATGTCAATTTAACATCTATTCCATGTTGGTTCAACGTCATTTCATTGAAATGACCTGGAAACAACATTGATTCAACCAGTGTGTGCCCAGTGGGATGTGTCTGTGGCTAGCTAGTTGGTTAGCCAAGACAGGGAACGTGCACAGAGACATGGATATACAAAGGAACAACAACATTTCGTTACCTCCACATTACTGGCCTGTAATTCAAAGTGAAAAAAGGAAGCCTGTGCTAAAAGATCCACTTAAAATCATCTATTATTTGCAACAATGCTGTTAAGTAATACAACACAGCAAATACTGTGGTCCTCTGTAGCTCAGCTGGTAGAGCACGGCGCTTGTAACGCTAAGGTAGTGGGTTCGATCCCCGGGACCACCCATACACTAAAAAATGTATGCACGCATGACTGTAAGTCGCTTTGGATAAAAGCATCTGCTAAATGGCTTATTATTATTAAATAAATTTACCTTTTGGCCTAAATTAAAAACGACAGGTTTGGGTCAAATCCAATACGACAGAGTGAAACCCTCTGTATTTTAAAGTATTGTGGTGGCAGCATCATGTTATGGGTATGCCTGTCATCGGCAGGAACTGGGGAGTTTGTAAGGATCAAAATAAATATGAAAGGACCAATTTCCAGGTAAAAAGTTAGCGGAACACCTGCCTCAGTTTTCTGAAAACCCTGGGATAAAGTTATTTTTCAGCGGGACAATTACAAAACAATATGCCAAAGACACACTAGAATGGCTTTCCAAGAGGTGTTGAGTGTTCCAGTCTCAGTCCTGACTTAAATTTGCTTGAAAATCAGAGACAAGGTTTGAATATTGCTGTCCATCAATTATTCCCAACTTAATTTACAGAGTAATTTTAACAAAAACAATGGATATGTTGCCCAAAGTAGGTAGAATCTTATTCAACGTGATTGGCAGCCATTACAGCTGTGAAAGGTTGTAACGTAATACGTTGGGAGTCAGGTGCAGAAGGTGAGTTTAATAATGAATCGATGCAGATGAACAAAACATGAGAAGCGTACAGAACGTGAGAGAAAACAATACTTCCTAATGACTGATGTCTAAATAAAGGGGAAGTAATCACGGAGATGATGACCAGGTGTGTGTAATGATGGGGAGCAGGTGTGCGTAACCATAGCTGCCAGGGCCGGTGGTTAGTAGACCGGTGACGTCGAGCGCCTGAGGGAGGGAGCAGGAGTAGGCATGTCAGTACGGGTACGGTGATGAGGGAGGGTAGGCTTTCCTGGTTGATAGGTCCCATGGTGAAGGATCACGGGGCCGCCCCTCTGCCCTAGTGGACCCCAGGTTGGGACGCACCGGACACCGCTGAAGCCCTTCCTGGCTGCAATGGGGACAGAGCCCCAACGACGCTCTGCCACGGAGAGGTGTGTGGCCCCTACCTCCATGGGTTCAGGCTCTGCCTCAGGACAGCCAAAGGAGGGAGGCAAGTGGCAAGGTGGGTACCGGCACTCCCAAAGAAGGTTATCCAGACGGATGTCATCGCGAGGAGTGCATCCAAAGATTTTTCATGAGCATGGCCCTATTTCTATTACAACATATTCGATGACTGTAATTCATATTCCATTCACCCAGTTCAATGTAACAGTGATAGGTTTGGGCTACTACATGATACTCACATTTTCCCTATACACATCATGAGGTTGCTACCACCTAGCCTATGAATTAAAGTTTACAACGTAAGTGCACACAGGTCGAGAGAAAAAATGGAGGTGACATAGTGACACATGCACATACAGTGACACATTCAATACCGCCTTGCATACTCTTGCCTGCATCTAGCTGATATAGGGTGTAATCATTAGTCCAACAGCTGCGAACAAGTGTCTATTGGACAAATTCAGGTATGTTCATCCCCGTTTTGTTCCGTTTGCTTCCGTTTTAAGAAAGCTTTTTCAATAGAATTGGCGAAATGAATACACCCCTGATCACGCGTAAACACAGTTAGCTTTCATAGCAGCCACATAGACCCATGGGGCGGCGCACAATTGGCCCAGCGTCGTCCAGGGTAGGGGAGGGAATGGCCGGCAGGGATGTAGCTCAGTTGGTAGAGCATGGCGTTTGCAACGCCAGGGTTGTGGGTTCGTTTCCCACGGGGGGTATAAAAAAATAATGTATGCACTCACTAACTGTAAGTCGCTCTGGATAAGAGCGTCTGCTAAATGACTAAAATGTAAAATGTGAATGTATCCCTTCTCGCATCTATGCGCTCTCCTCCTTTCACCTTGTCCTTTCGCTTGTGGGCTTCAATGCACAACACATCAGCTGTATGTGAAAAAACCTTTCCAAGCCAAACCATATCATAACTGCTACACATAACTCCACATAACGTCATAGTCAACATAGCTAATAGAACTAATGCGTTAGTAAACCCGCTACAATCCTGCAGTAAAGTTACACCGGCGGGGCCCCGGTGGCAATAAATTAGTCAAACCAAAAGCTTACCTTGACTTGGAAGAGTTCCAGTGTTGTGTTGGATAGTCATAGCCAACTTGCTAACATAGCATCCCTCTGTTTGAGCAGGGTGTTTGAGTAGGCTAAACTAGCTAGCTGAGCAAGTGAAACTGAAAGTGAATAAAATTTATGAAATCTCTCTCTTGCTTCTCCTTCATTTTGGAAGAAATTAATTTGTTCGAAACTGTTCAACTATTGTCTTCTCCCTCTCTCTTTGAGTCAACTACTCACCAAATGTTATGCATTGCAGTGCTAACTAGCTGTAGCTTACGCTTTCAGTACTAGATTAATTATCTGATCCTTTGATTGGGTGGACAACATGTCAGTTCATGCTGCAAGAGCTCTGATAGGTTGGAGGACGTCCTCTGGAAGTTGTCATAATTACTGTGTAAGTCTATGGAAGGGGGTGAGAACCATGAGCCTCCTACGTTTTGTATTGAAGTCAATATACCCAGAGGAGAACGGAAGCTAGCTGCCCTCCGGCTACACCATGGTGCTACCCTACACAGTGCTGTTGAGGCTACTGTAGACCTTAATTCCAAAATAGTGTGTTTTAATCAAGTATTTGGTGACATGTGATTATAGTTTTATTTAAAAAGGATAACTTTTTAAATGTTTAAAAATATATATTTTTATGAAATTCACTGAGGATGGTCCTCCCCTTCCTCCTCTGAGAAGCCTCCACTGGTGAACTCGGCATGAGAGTGTGACGAGGTGATCTGATGTCATATCCTATTCTCTGTAATCTGTTCAGATGCAGTGGCTGCTGATGAACCAAGGAGGAAGCCAGCTCTCCTCCAGTACATCTCCAATGCCTCGGGTACGGTCTTGCTTCTCCTGCAAGAAAAGGTGTTGATTTGTTCCCTATGCAGGGTTTCCCAAACTCGGTCCTGGGGCCCCACCTGCGTGCACATTTTGTTTTTTGCCCTAGCACTACACAACTGGACCGAGTTTGGGAAACCCTGCTCTAATGGAGTGAGGGCTGTGCCTGCACAACTTTTTTTAGCCAGCATCTTAAATCCTGTTGCTAGCAGTAGGGGGAGCCAGTCCCTCTGTTTACAGCCCTAAATAAATAGGACAAAACAAACACTATATGCCTTTATTATTATATTTTTATTGTGTTGCTTTTAGCTCCTTAAATTTAAGATCAGTGTTGTTATCACAGCCTTTTCAACTGTTCATTTAGTAAGTGTAGGCCTTAGTTGAACTTTCTTATTGGTGTATTAACTAATTTACCACCTGGTGATGTCACCAGGCAGGCCAAAACTCCATCCCACCCAAACAGGCTGAAATTTCAGGCGGTCTTTTCAAACAGCTCTTACACTTTTTCTCTCTGCCTCATGAAATGTGTAGAATTGCAGGAGATTAGCTTTAACGCGGCAACAACAAAAACGAAAACGGTCTCTGGATCAGTGAGCAAGCTGTGACGTGATACACTGCTGCTATGGCAACGGGCGGTGGGAGGGGATATAGAAGGAGCTGGTGGGAGTGGCAAAGCAATATGCCGCACGATTAAAGAGAGAGAGAGAGAGAGAGGGAACTGAATAAGTGTCCAACAGCAACCTTTTGGGAACTGAATAAGTGTGCAACAGCAACCTTTTTGCCGGTGTATTCGTTACTCTCTCCCGCTGTCGCTAATGCGGTAATAGTGTGTTTACCACAGATATTGCAACCTTTATAACCACCACATACCGGTATACTTTCTGTCTAACGGAATAACGACAGCGTGTATTAAAATGTCCAATGTGAACTGGAAACCTTTCGTTTTCGGCGGTCTGGCATCCGTCACTGCTGAATGCGGTGAGTTTTCTTTACACAGGTGTGTGAGGTGGACTAACATTAGTTTTCTGTCATTATTTCTCAATACATGTCTTTCCCTCCGTTGTGTAGGTACCTTTCCTATAGATTTGACCAAGACGCGGCTGCAAGTTCAAGGCCAAGTGGGCGACAGCAAGTACAGAGAGATTCGATACCGGGGAATGTTGCACGCCATAGGCAGAATATGCAGAGAGGAGGGAATAAGTGCACTTTACTCAGGGTGAGTATTGAGCTATATAAGAAGAGCAGTCTTATCATGATGATTCTATTTTTATTGTACTTTTCAGCATTTTGCACAGATTAAGCCTAGTTCAAGATTAAAATGAATGTTAAATTGAGATTCTCCATTGAAATTGGTTCTTAGTTCAGGATTTGGCTTAATCTGTCTCCAGGAAACGGCTACTCAATAAATGCCAAGCTATGTGAGCATCAGTGTGTTGCTACACATGCCAGCAAAGTTTCAAATAAATCAGGGGTCCCAAACTTTTTTGGCCGATGACCCTATTTTGATATCTGAAAATTCTCTTGACCCCAACCCAACCATGTGGAAAAATTGTAATTAACAGTTACTTTTTTATTTGGGGCTATGGCAGTCAATTGAAAAACATCTTAACAGTATTTCTGATTGTTTTCTCCACTCACCATCACATACTTTTAATGTGGGGCTATGACAGTCAATTGCAAATTAGTCTGACATAATGTATCTTATCTCACCACCACTAATGAGATGGGTGTGCTTGATGCATGTCGCGTAGGAGCTTCTCAAAGTCAGGGGGCGTGGTCGATAGTGCGTACCTCATCTCAGCTGTCACATCCAACCTGGATCGATATTTGGTTTTAATGCAGATGAGAGCACTGATGATGCTAGGGAAAAATATGAGGTCAAATGATGTCATTGATCTTTCAGGTCAGAAAGTCAGAGCTCTAGAAAGAGGCCAGAGTTCCCGAGTTTGAATTCCAAGTTGGATGACCGTTCAAATATGGTAGCGAGGAAGCCCAGTGGCCGACAGTGGGAGAAGATGGAACGAGATGGATTTTGGCCGACATTATGCTACATCTTTGGTATTCCCTTTGCGTCAGAAACCAAAACTCCTCAGTGACTCGTGAATGCAGTTGGTCACATGACAGCTCAATCAGCTTTTCAATTTCGCTTACCCACGTGTCAGCAGATCCAGGATCACAATCAAATGGATTGGGAAGTAGGTCCCAAAGTGCTCTTCTAAGCGTTGGAGGTGAACAGTCATCACTTGTGTCGGACACTTACTGATGCTGTTTTCTGTTAGAAACATGCACAGCCAAGAGAAGGGGGCATGGTTCGCTTTTGAAAGACTTTCCAATAAGAATTTTTTCCTCTGAATCCACTGATTCGGTCACTCATCTATAGAATGTTTTTGTATTTCCCCTGCATGCTTACGTTCAGTTCATTCAGTTTCCCAAATATGTCTGTTACATAGGCAAGGAGACACATTTTATTTTCATTACACAGAAAGTCATATATTTTTTACATTCATTGTGAATGACAACCGTTCCCCTCTCAATATGAAAAAACCTTTCCAACACATCCCCTCGAGAACCACCAAGCCTCAGAGTGAAATAGAACATTGTTATGCTCTGATCCCATATCTCCAAATAGTTTTGCGAACAGGCGTGCGCGCAGTGGATGTGGTTTGATGTAGTTTACAATCTTAGTTACCTGCTGCAGTATATCTCCGAGTTCTGTACTCAGCTCCTTTGCCGCCAGTTGCTCTCGGTGTATCATACAATGTGTCCATATAGCAGAGGGAGACACATTCATAACTAGAGTGCAGAGGCCATCCCGCCATGGAGCCCCAAATGTGCAAAATCGTGAGATGGAACAATATGTCGTCATGAATAGTATCCCCCAACATTTATAGCGAACAAAAGTCAATGTATGGGCATCTCGGCCCTCACAGCTAACATCCATTTGTAGAGAATAAGCTGCTGAGTTTTTGAGTCGTTCAGTCAGTTTCCTCATGGTTGCTAGCAGTAGAATCAATTATTGGTTTAACAGTGTTATCTGACAAGGGTATTGATGTGAGTTTCTGTGACTCTGCCTCCCCACACATATAAATTGCAGCTGGTAATATCAAAGTCTCTTCAATAGTGTGTGGTTTCATAGCATAGTGGGCCTAGCCATTCACCGTGAAAATGAGTGCAACGGTCAAGTGCAGCCTTTCCCATGATCTAAGGGCGCTTTCTGGTTTAATTGTATCTTTTAGATTTGAATAATTTTCATTTAGATTAAGGTTAACCACATTAAAATCATTTTGAGATATATATATATGTGTGTGTATGTATATGATTTTTTTCTTCAGGATTTTGGAAATTCTCCCTCGACCCCATTTTCATATTAGGCGACCCCTAGTTTGGAAACTGCTGCAATGAGTGGAAGTCCTCCCTTTGATTCTAACTCTTAAGTCTAACTGTTAAGCCTGTTTTACTTAAGTCATAGTCACTCATTGCGTGTGTTTCTGTGTTGCAGTCTCGCCCCTGCAATGTTGCGCCAGGCATCCTATGGGACCATAAAGATTGGCACATACCAGAGCTTCAAACGACTACTGGTGGACAGGCCAGAAGGTAAGAGAACAACAACACATCAGGATTTTAGATCTCTTAGCTATTTGCTGACCTTGTTACATGTGTTCTAAATCAGTCTGTAGTGTGTGGCATTGCAATAAACAGTGACGTGTGTGTGTGTGTGCATGTGTGTGTGTGTGTATATGTATATATATATATATATCTTAACTTATCTCTAAGTCACTGTTCATTGCAATGCACACACACGCTATATATACAGTACCAGTTCAAAAGTTTGGACAACTACTCATTCCAGAGTTTTTCTTTATTTTTACTATTTTACACATTGTAGAATAATAGTGAAGACATCAAAACTATGAAATAACACATACGGAATCATGTAGTAACCAAAAAAGTGGAATGCTCTGGAATGCATTTCAATTAAAAAAATAATTAATTGGTCATTTAGCAGACGCTCTTATCCAGAGCAACTTACAGGAGCAATTAGGGTTAAGTGCCTTGCTCAAGGGCACATCGACAGATTTTTCACCTAGTCGGCTCGGGGATTAGAATCAGCGACCTTTCGTTTACTGGCACAACGCTCTTAACCACTAAGCTACCTGCCGCCCCAAGGTGGGCCTTGTTAATTTGTGGAATTCCTTTCCTTCTTAATGCGTTTGAGCCAATCAATTGTGTTGTGACAAGGTATGGGTGGTATACAGAAGATGGCCCTATTTGGTAAAAGACCACGTCCATATTATGGCAAGAACAGCTCAAATAAGCAAAGAGAAACGACAGTCCATCATTACTTTAAGACATGAAGGTCAGTCAATCTGGGAACTTTGAAAGTTTCTTCAAATGCAGTCGCAAAAACCATCAAGCGCTATGATGAAACTGGCTCTCATGAGGACCGCCACAGGAAAGGAAGACCAAGAGTTAACTCTGCTGCAGAGGATAAGTTAATTAGAGTTAACTGCACCTCAGATTGCAGCCCAAATAAATGCTTCACAGAGTTCAAGTAACAGACACATCTCAACATCAACTGTTTAGAGGAGACTGCGTGACTAAGGCCTTCATGGTCGAGTTGCTGCAAAGAAACCACTACTAAAGGACACCAATAAGAAGAAGCGACTTGCTTGGGCCAAGAAACACGAGAAATGGACATTAGACCGGTGGAAGTCTGAGTCCAAATTAGAGATTTATGGTTCCATCCGCCGTGTCTTTGTGAGACGCAGAGTAGGTGAATGGATGATCTCCGCATGTGTGGTTCCCACCGTAAAGCAGGGAGGAGGAGGTGTGACACTGTCTGTGATTTTATTTAGAATTCAAGGCACACCTAACCAGCATTGCTACCACAGCATTCTGCAGCGATACGCCCATTCCATCTGGTTTGCGCTTAGTGGGACTATCATTTATTTTTCAACTGGACAATGGCTCAAAACACACCTCCAGGCTGTGTAAGGGCTATTTGACCAAGAAGGAGAGTGATGGAGTGCTGCATCAGATGACCTGGCTCCACAATCACCCGACCTCAACCCAATTGAGATGGTTTGGGATGAGTTGGACCGCAGCGTGAAGGAAAAGCATATGTGGGAACTCCTTCAAGACTATTGGAAAAGCATTCCTCATGAAGCTGGTTGAGAGAATGCCAAGAGTGTGCAAAGCTGTTATTGTGGTCCTCTGTAGCTCAGCTGGTAGAGCACGGCGCTTGTAATGCCAAGGTAGTGGGTTCGATCCCCGGGACCACCCATACACAAAAATGTATGCACGCATGACTGTAAGTCGCTTTGGATAAAAGCGTCTGCTAAATGGCATATTGTGGTCCTCTGTAGCTCAGCTGGTAGAGCACGGCGCTTGTAACGCCAAGGTAGTGGGTTCGATCCCCGGGACCACCCATACACAAAAATTTATGCACGCATGACTGTAAGTCGCTTTGGATAAAAGCGTCTGCTAAATGGCATATTATTATATTATTATCAAGGCAAAGGGTGGCTTCTTTTGAAGAATCTAAAATATATTTTGATTTAACACTTTTTACTACATAATTATATGTGTTATTTCATAGTTTTGATGTCTTCACTATTATTCTACAATGTAGAAAATATATATATATATATTTTTTTAAGAGTAGGTGTGTCTTAACTTTTGACTGGTACTGTGTATGTATATAAGCCTTACACAACTATAAGACCCACTAATTATTTTATCAATAGTTTAACCTGCTTTTTTAAATTTTATTTTTTACTAATCACTGATCTGGCTTTCAAGTCTGTCTACGAAAATAACCTTTTCTGTTACAAATTTAACTAGAACCATGCATAATGGATTTCCACTAATAATGACTAACTTCTAGTAGCAGGCATTGTTTATTTTCTATAGCCTAATCTCTCAAGCCCACGTGCTAGTGATTAGCCAGCTAATCTTTATACTGTATTTCAAGTTTAACCAACTTGGATCTATTTGCTAACTAACAAGGTTGAATTGTTATGAACACACCCTTCTGTCTGTCTCCAACTGTTTGAAAAGCATGTAAGCCTGTCGACCTTGTTCAGATGTTGAAATCAAGTGGCATATCTTATTTCTCAGAATGAGGAGTTGCCAATTCCTTATATAATTGTGTTTTATGCTTATTGCACATTTATAAAACACAGACTAGACAGCTAGTGACTACCGACCCATAGCACTCACATCTGTAGCCATGAAGTGCTTTGAAAGGCTGGTCATGGCTCACAACACCATTATCCCAGAAACCCTAGACCCACACCTAATTTGCATACTGCCCCAACAGATCCACAGATGATGCAATCTCTATTGTGCTCCACACTGCCCTTTCACACCTGGACAAAAGGAACACCTATGTGAGAATGCTATTAATTGATTACAGCTCAGCGTTCTACACCAACACCATAGTGCCCTCCAAGCTCATCACTAAGCTAAGGACCCTGGGAATAAACACCTCCCTCTGCAACTGGATCCTGGACTTCCTGACGGGCCGCCCCCAAGTGGTAAGGGTAGGTAACAACACATCCGCCACGCTGATCCTCAACACGGGGGACCCTCAGGGATGCGTGCTCAGTCCCTTCCTGTACTCCCTGTTCACTCATGACTGCATGGCCAGGCACGACTCCAACACCATCATTAAGTTTGCAGATGACACAACAGTGGTAGGCCTGATCACCGGCAACGACGAGACAGCCTATAGGGAGGAGGTCAGAGACCTGGCCGTGTGGTGCCAGGACAACAACCTCTCCCTCAACGTGATCAAGAAAAAGGAGATGATTGCGGACTACAGGAAAAAGAAGAGGACCAAGCACACCCCCGTTCTCATCGACAGGGCTGTTGTGGAGCAGGTTGAGAGCTTCAAGTTCCTTGGTGTCCACATCACCAACAAACTAGCATGGTCCAAGCACACCAAGACAGTCATGAAGAGGGCACGACAAAACCTATTCCCCCTAAGGAGACTGAAAAGATTTGGCATGGGTCCTCAGATCCTCAAAAGGTTCTACAGCTGCACCATCGAGAGCATCCTGACTGGTTGCATCACTGCCTGGTATGGCAACTTCTCGGCCTCCGACCTCATGGCACTACATAGGCTAGTGCGTACGGCCCAGTACATCACTGGGGCCAAGCTTCTTGCCATCCAGGACCTCTATACCAGGCGGTGTCAGAGGAAGGCCCTAAAAATTGTCAGACTCCATCCACCCTAGTCATAGACTGTTCTCTCTGCTACCGCACAGCAAGCGGTACCAGAGTGCCAAATCTAGGTCCAAGAGGCTTCTAAACAGCTTGTACCCCCAAGCCATAAGACTCCTTAACATCTAATCAAATGGCTACCCAGACTATTTGCATTGTGAACATGTGTGCGTGTGTGACCCATTTTCGCTGAGAGGAATGCACAGAGTAATACCTCCATTACACACTATTGTTACATGGACACACATACACGTCATACAGAGGTAATGTGTGTGCGGGTGAGACTAAGAGGAACGATAATTCAATGTATAAAGAATAGCCTGAATTGAATTTCTCCTCTCTCTTTCTCAGATGAGACGTTGTTGACCAACGTGCTGTGTGGTGTTCTGTCTGGAGTAATCTCCTCCTCCATCGCCAACCCCACGGATGTGCTGAAGGTAATGACACACACACACACACACACACTTGTAAATGGTGTGAATAGTTTATTGGGTATTAGAAGCCAACAGAGAGACCGGTAGGGCTGATCTAAACAAAATACAGCAACACTTTTTTTACCACACTGTTTGGCTCTGTTTCCTTGCCTTTGAGGAGGATAAGCAGTGATACTCTGGCCCTGCCCGATCCAGCTCAGTCTGAACGCTAGGGTTTTTTAGTTTCACACATTAATGGATGGGAGGGTGTGTGAGCGGGGTGAATGTACTTGTAGTTTCTAAATAAGGTTCCTACATTCATTCTATGGGTACAAGGGTGTGTCTCTGGGAGGTGGGGGTTGAAGAGTGTGTATGGGCGGGGAGGAGGTCACCGAGATGCCACTATCACTAACTGTGTGATATTTATAGACTCCTGCCCACAAGAAATGGCACAGTAATGATATGGCTGAGTGAAAAATGATCTATGTGAGCGTATGTGTGGTTTTAGGATTGAATTGTGTTGGCTGAAAGTTAGAACAGTGCGTTTCAAAAGCAGTGTGTTCCGTTTGGCACTGTGTTGGGGAGGGGGGTCATGTGCTTAGCACACTTAAATAACCCTCCGGGCACACACGCATCACTCAACCAGCTATGCAGGCAGGTTTATTTCCCTATAAGTTGGATGAGACTGATCTGCATTCAACACATACAGACAGCCTGTATGTTATTGTTATTGTTTGTTTGGTCTTAAGAGCATTGGCAAGGCTTTAAGTAGGCCAGAATTCAGAACAGTGGGTCAGAATGCAGACAGGGACAGTTGGTGAACCCTTGTCACCTGTATCCTGAACACTGTGGCTCTACACACACCAGCAGTGTTTCCCCTAAGCTTAACTCTTTGTGGCAGAGGGCCACATTACATTGTCATCCAGTGCTGATAACACTTTCACTAGTCTCTCCTGTCATCTGCATACTGGTTTTCTGTTGATTTTAACTTGACTTTTATCCTAACTGTTTTTCCTTCCTGGTTTTCCAAGATCCGTATGCAGGCTCAGGGCAGTGTAATCCAGGGAAGCATGGTGGGAAACTTCATCAACATCTACCAACAGGAGGGAGCCAGGGGGTTGTGGAAGGTAGGCACATGGACACACACACACACACACACACACACACACACACACACACACACAGACTTTTAACCCCCCTCTCTCTCAGGGTGTGTCTCTGACAGCGCAGAGAGCAGCTATCGTGGTGGGGGTGGAGCTTCCTGCCTATGACCTCGCAAAGAAACACCTGATTCTGGATTGTCACATGGGTGACAACATTTATACACACTTCCTGTGAGTGACATCGTCAATACTCACCCACTACTCCGTTAACTCTCCACAAGAATGGAACCTATGGCTACGTAAGACTAGGGAACTTCTGACCCTTGCCCTCTGACCCACAGGTCCAGTTTTGCATGTGGTCTGGCGGGGGCTCTGGCCTCTAACCCCATAGACGTGGTCCGCACACGGATGATGAACCAGACATACGGAGCTGTCACCTACCAGGGAACACTGGACTGCTTACTACAGGTAGATTAGCACACCAGGGTTTCCGTTAGCCGGTAATGGCTGGGTTTTGGCCCAAAGATCAAATACATTTGTGCCGACTAATTGTCCAGGAGAAGGGGGAAAAAAACATAGCCTGGAAATTCCAGTCGATTGAAATACATTTGATCGGTCATGCTTATCAGTCTATAGGTTAATCTGCATAAATCTGCATAAATTTGCTCGTACAGGGCTCTAAATGTACATTTTTCATTGGTAGCGCTGGTGCACCCAACTTAAAGTTAGGAGCACCAGAAAATATTTTGAGATACAGCCTATATTGGGCGTATATGAATTATAGCTACTTTTGAAGCACGTTGTGCCCTAGAAACTATAACACTGTAAAAACATGAGTTTATTATAAAAGCTAAAATGTTGATACAACTACCTGTCATTGAAATTGCAAAGTCATTTTGTAGAATATTAGGTTTTTAATATTGTGTAAAAGCACTATTTCCCTATTGAGATGCATTACATTGAAAATGGTACACTGTCTCTTTAAAAACGTCAGGTTTGTGATGAGGATGTGCAAGAGATCTGTCATTCATTGCTATGATTGATCTCCTGAAGAAGCTATCCCTTTCCCTTTCTTTCTGTGTCCCCAAGTGTTTGGATATACTGGTTACTAGGTTGTTACTGGTTACTAGGTTGTTAGCTAGCTAGCCGACTTAACAAAGTGTTACAAATGGTTAACGACGCGCATATAGTTTTATAACGGCCCACAACATGGTTTATGAATGTAAAATGTAAAATGTGATCTGCTATAGGGAGATAAAAATGTTGTGCCGGTAATATGGGTCAGATCTTTTGACCTGGTTGTGCTACAAGCAAGCCATTTTTTCTGTAGTAATGGTGCATCCATGACTCTTGTCGAATCTGCACTCGCTTTTTCTCTAGGGCACTCAGAAACAATGGTACAGTGACGCCTTAAGACAACAATTAAGGCATCGCTGTACCATTGTTTCTGAGTCGCACAGTGCTCCCAAAATTCCTGGATGAACAGCAACATATTTTGTTGCATACGTGACCAAATTGGTCACACTTTAGAGCCCTGGGCGCATGTGTATTTTCCTTAGTTTATGTATCTTATTTATCATACTCGCACAGCATACAGATACAGAGCCTATATTTGAGTGGAAAATTTGTCAGACAGCTCGTTTGTTGCTGCTGGAGTGAAATGTGTGCTTTTTATAAGCCCTATCATTGCGCAACAATTCTGAATGCAATCGCGTATTCACAGTTATTGCCACAATTTAAAAAGAGGTACGCTTTTTTTCGGAACTGGTAATTGAAGCGTGCTTCCCATTCGCCATTCAAGTGTAAGCAGGCTTCAGCTCTTCACACACCACTTTGCAATGAGCTGGAGGCAGTATGCATTTTGAGAACGTAATTGTTTGAAACCTGAACATTTTACTTCATATTATGAGGCATGTCTTACCTTGCTTCAAAGTTGCCTAGCCAAAATTATTTAATAAAGACTTTCATATGCCATTGAAACCAGTAGCCTATTTCTCATGTTCTACTGGTTTTCAAATCAATTTTCTTTCATTGTCCAGTAGCCAAACTTAAATCCTAGTCATATTAGCAACCCATGCTAGTTGTTGCATCTTTAGATCTCTCCTCTTTCTAAATTTCTAAAGATATTTTCATCTTTCACATGAAACCGCTCACATGTGCGGTGCGCTTTTGGCAACTGGGTTTCCCCGCTAATTGCATTATGGAACAAATATTTGTGTGTAGCCTTGTGCTTATAATGTGAAGAAATAATCATTTATCAAAATGTTAAGCTAATAGTTCTGATCTGTATCATCAGTCTCATTGCTGTTGAAAGCTAATTTTTTATTATTTTGGTGTAGCCTAGGCCTACTGGTTGTATAATTTGGGATCTATCATTCCACAACTGTCCCAGAGTCTGTTTGGAATAGGCTATTTATTTCTCGCACAGAACGACAAGCTGACCAATAGAATATGTAAACTTTTCTACTATGGGGGATTACTAGTGATTTTGCTCTTCGTTACTCGTCTCGTTGGCTGAGGAAATGTAAATGTGGACAGTTATTCTAGCATCTTCAAATGCGTATCGGAATTCGATAAGAAGGACGCATTCCGTTGCATCCTCGAGTTGCATGTTTTGTTAAGATGAATGACCATAATCTACATGTGATTTCTGTCATTCTACGCACCGTGGGTGGACGCCCTGATCGGGTTAAGCACCCAATGCATATGGATCCGGTACATTTCTCAAATGTCCAGTAAATTTAAAATGCTGCCAGTCAAATGTACGGCGCCACATTTTTCTAACGAAAACCCTGACGAGCACACACCACATGATGAACCAAGGGTGTAATCATTAGTCCAAACCGTTGCAAAACAGAATGTATTGGACAAATTCAGGTAGGTCCATTCTGTTTTAAGAAACGTTTTGCAACAGAATAGGCATAATGAATACGCCCCAGAGATGCGGGGCAATGATGGGTACAGGGCTGTGTGTGTGTGTAACATTTTGTCTCTTTTTAGACGTCACGGTCTGAGGGCTTCATGGCACTCTACAAAGGCTTCTTCCCCAACTGGCTCCGTCTCGGCCCATGGAACATCATCGTATCCTTTCACCTACTCACAGGAGTGTGTGTGTGTGTGTGTGTGTTTTTATCTACCACCGAAGGTTTGCACCAGAGTCGGGAGTCAATTCCAGTTTAATATCCATCTGTAGAGTTGGTCATGGAATTTCTCCATAGGAATGCAATTCCTAAATTGACTGGAATTTTGATGGAATTGATCCCAACCTTAGTTTGGACATTCCAATGGAGCCAGAGGCTGACTCTAATGCAGTTGCACATACATTACTGCTCCTGTAATAGCAACCCAGTTTCACCTAGGGTAGCAGAGGGATCTGGGAGCCAGAATAGGGGTTAGAAGTGGGAAATATGGAGGGTAAGGAGAGGGGGAGGAAGAAGGGGTTGGGGGTAGAGGGAATAGAAAGGGAATGAAGATCTGAGGGAGCAAGAGCGGGGGTGAGATGTGTTCCATGTGGTGTGTTAAGGCTGGTTTACAGTTGGTCTATCGACATGTCTGTAGACAGATGTCGCAGTGACTTCATGAACAAGTATAAACACAAAACGACAGCCTCTGGATGACATCAGCAGCCCGGTGCTCCAAATAGCCTACTTGCTCTATTTGAACATCGTCAAACCCATCTATTTAAAAATGAATTTAGTAAATGTCAACCTAGCAAGCCAGGCAACTAAAACCAACTTTCTAAACAATGTTTTGGTTTGTTGCTAGCTTGGTAGCTAGCTGGCTATCCAGTGAAAATTAATTACCAGAGTGCCTTCGGAATGTATTCAGACACCTTGACTTTTTCCACGTTTTGTTACGTTACAGCCTTATTCTAAAATTGATTAAAAAATAATAATAATCCTCAGCAATACCCCATAATGACAAATCGAAAATAGGTTTTTAGAAAATTTTGCAAATGTATTAAAAATAAAAAACAGATACCTTATTTACATAAGTATTCAGACCCTTTGCTATGAGATTCAAAATTGAGCTCCGGTGCATCCTGTTTCCATTGATCATCCTTGATGTTTCTACAACTTGATTGGAGTCCACCTGTGGTAAATTCAGTTGATTGGACATTATTTGGAAAGGCACACACCTGTCTATATAAGGTCCCATAGTTGACCGTGCATGTCAGAGCAAAAACCAAGCTATGAGGTCGAAGGAATTGTCCGTAGAGCTCAGAGACAGGATTGTGTCGAGGCACAGATCTGGGGAAGGGTACCAAAACATTTCTGCAGCATTGAAGATCCCCAAGAACACAGTGGCCTCCATAATTCTTAAATGGAAGAAGTTTGTAACCACCAAGACTCTTCCTAGAGCTGGCCACCCGGCCAAACTGTGCAATCGGTGGAGAAGGGCCTTGGTCAGGGAGGTGACCAAGAACCTGATGGTTACTGACAGAGCTCTAGAGTTCCTCTGTGGAGATGGTTGTCCTTCTGGAAGGTTCTCCCATCTCTGCAACACTCCACCTATCAGGTCTTTATGGTAGAGTGGCCAGATGGAAGTCACTCCTCAGCAAAAGGTACATGACAGGCCGCTTGGAGTTTGCCAAAAGGCACCTAAAGACTCTCAGACCATGAGAAACAAGATTGAACTCTTTGGCCTGAATGCCAAGCGTCACGTCTGGAGGAAACCTGGCACCATCCCTACGGTGAAGCATGGTGGTGGCAGCATCATGCAATGGGGATATTTTTCAGCGGCAGGGACTGGGAGACTAGTCAGGATCGAGGCCAAGTTGAACGGAGCGAAGTACAGAGAGAGCCATCATTAAAACCTGCTCCGATCCTCAGACTGGGGGTGACGGTTCAACTTCCAACAGGACAACGACCCTAAGCACACAGCCAAGACAACGCAGGAGTGGCTTCGGGACAAGTCTCTATGTCCTTGAGTGGCCCAGCCAGAGCCCGGACTTGAACACGATCTAACATCTCTGGAGAGACCTGAAAATAGCTGTGCAGCAACGCTCCCCATCCAACCTGACAGAGCTTGAGAGGATCTACAGAGAAGAATGAGAGAAACTTCCCATATACAGGTGTGCCAAGCTTGTAGTGTCATACCCAAGAAGACTCGATGCTGTAATCGCTGCCAAAGGTGCTTCGACAAAATACTGAGTGAAGGGTCTGAATACTTATGTAAATGTATTATTTCCGTTTTTTATTTTTAAACATTAGTAAAAATGTCTAAACCTGTTTTTGCTTAGTCATTATGGGGTATTGTGTGTAGATTGAGTGGAAAAAATAACGTAATCAATTTGAGAATAATGTGGAAAAAGTCAAGTTGTCTGAATACTTTCCGAAGGCACTGTAGCTGACGTCTTAATTTTAGCTACTTTTTATTCATTATTCACCGCAACATTATTAACAAGGTAAAATAGCTTATGATTGTCAGTGTCCACAAAATCAAAGTAAATAGTCTATATCTGAGAACTGCAGAACTCCTGCACCATCTTGTCACCGGTGGATTTGGTCTTGTTGCTGTAGCAGCCCAGTAACCACAACAATGGACGTTGCGAGAGTCGCAGAGACATTAACTTTTTTTCATGTCTGTGCAACAAGGAAACCGACAGTTTATAGACATTTCATCGCAGTATAAATTAAATGTTGTTTTGACAAGCAACACTTGTCGCATTCTAATTGTCTACAAACATGTTGTTAGAAAAAGTATAAACTGCCCTTTAAGAGCGAGGGCCTGTAGATTGGGCAGAGGTAGCAGCTGTAACTAAGATAACTAAACCTCAGTCATTACAGTGAGGTAACCAGGGGATCACCGAGGGGAGTTAGGAACAGGTAACCAGGGGATCACCGAGGGGAGTTAGGAACAGGAACGGAAGTCTGGAGGGTGTAGTGGACCTAGAGGAGTGGACGTGGTGTGTTTGGGATGTGTGTGTTATGTTCCTAACTAAGCTCCTGCACTGAGAAGGATGATGTGTGTTATGTTCCTAACAAAGCTCCTGCACTGAGAAGGATGATGTGTGTTATGTTCCTAACTAAGCTCCTGCGCTGAGAAGGATGATGTGTGTTATGTTCCTAACAAAGCTCCTGCACTGAGAAGGATGATGTGTGTTGTGTTCCTAACTAAGCTCCTGCACTGAGAAGGATGATGTGTGTTATGTTCCTAACAAAGCTCCTGCACTGAGAAGGATGATGTGTGTTATGTTCCTAACAAAGCTCCTGCACTGAGAAGGATGATGTGTGTTATGTTCCTAACAAAGCTCCTGCACTGAGAAGGATGATGTGTGTTATGTTCCTAACAAAGCTCCTGCACTGAGAAGGATGATGTGTGTTATGTTCCTAACAAAGCTCCTGCACTGAGAAGGATGATGTGTGTTGTGTTCCTAACTAAGCTCCTGCACTGAGAAGGATGATGTGTGTTATGTTCCTAACAAAGCTCCTGCACTGAGAAGGATGATGTGTGTTGTGTTCCTAACTAAGCTCCTGCACTGAGAAGGATGATGTGTGTTATGTTCCTAACAAAGCTCCTGCACTGAGAAGGATGATGTGTGTTATGTTCCTAACTAAGCTCCTGCACTGAGAAGGATGATGTGTGTTATGTTCCTAACTAAGCTCCTGCACTGAGAAGGATGATGTCAGTGTCTTTTTTTCCCTTCTCTTTCTGTGCCTTGTCCTTAACTCCTCCTTAGTTCTTTGTTACCTACGAACAGCTGAAGAAGATGGAGGTCTGATGGAGAGAAGGAAATGTAGCACTGTGGAGGGGAGAGGAGGAAATAACTCAGCCAGAGAGGGGAAAGAATGGACCAAAATAGGGGTGGACGTATCCTGTCTAGCCTCCGACTTCTTGTCTGGGTGGTGTGTCGACCACGCCCCCCTCAGACGCATTTCTCCTTTCTGATTGGCTGCTGCCGTGATGGCGCTCTGGTTGGCTGGGAAAGAGGAAGTGAAAGTTGAGGATAATTGCACAATCAGAAAGCAAGGTGAAGCTAAGACCATTTTGAAACTATGTCCCTAAATTATTTATTTATTCTTTTTTTTGGAGCTCAGTCGAGCCTCAATGCTGGTATCATATAAACACACAAGACATAGAAAAATGTGGGTTGTGAGGTGGGGATTTGTTACTACGTCGAAAAAGTACTATTCATCCGGACCTTTGCGACCTAGGAAATTTGAATGACCGGACTTTCTCAAATAGTACTTGAGTACGCCTGATGTACAAGAACTCAAATAATGTTAAAAGCAGTGACTACTACTAATAATGTTAAAAACTGCTCAGATTTGTATGGATTTCAGATGCCTTGGTGTGCGTTCTCTTTGGTTGCCAGAGGAACTGCCAAAGGAAGCTGTGGAAAAGACTGCGAACATTTCTGTAGAAGGTTATCTGCCAGTCACTAGTGGGCAGCAAATGATGCCATTTACTCAAGGACTGGCCACTTTCTGAAACCCTAGATGTCTGTACAGCCATGGAAAGCTTATGTGATGGCTGAGGGTGTAATATATTTGTTAAGATGGTTGGCTGTGGGTTTGGATTTTGTACGTCAGAGGATTCTCTAGTTACAGAACACGGGGGGTAGGACTTTTAATGGGACTAGTTATATAACCAGATTAAAGATCATAGGGCAGGTGACCACTAACTCACACACACAAAAGGGCACATGGGTTCTTAATGCCAGGGTGAATTGGCACAGTGTATGGATGACACACACAGTTAATGGGGATGTTGTGTACGGACTAGTCTGGGTCAGTATTATAAATACACTCTGGACAGCCTGATTGGCACGCTGTACCTTATGTCATTTCAGGACCCCTATCTCTGACACACACGCGGAGCCCCAGTTCTTACTATATGTCACAGCAGCAGAGCCCCCATATTCTATCCCTGTTCAGGTCGGGGTGTCCAATCCAACCCATTTAACCTTTTTCATTTAACAGGATATCACTTAAGCTTCCAGAGAGATGTGCCTGTAGTCTGCAGGGAAGTGTAGCCTGTAGCCTGCAGGGAAGTGAATGTTCAGGAGAGGTGGCTGATGTATATTTAGCAATTGCGCCTGACTACCAATGCGGAGGTGGCATTCTGTGTGCTGGTGTTGTTGACTTCTGTATGGTAAGGCCTCGGAGTACCACAGTGGAAAGGTTGCCATTTTATGATCCCAAGACACATAACTAATTTACCTGTCAACTAACTGTTAATCCTCTACCCTTCACTTCTACTACTTCTTTATGTTATTCACTGGTTATCAGTTAGCTCGTTTGGAGTTGAGCTTGCTAGTTTTGTTTGAGCTAAGGTTGAACCTCAGAATGTGTTCATGTGAGAATATGGTTCTTGTATATGATTTGTTTATAGCCCCCAAAGCCTTAATTCCAATGTGTCACTGTCATAGCCCTGTAAATACTCCTGTTACTGTGTACTCTAAATAAACCTGATTAAAACAAGGCATACATAAACTTCTGACTGGTCTCATGTTTTCAATCGCACTATAGCGCTAAACTTCCGTGATACGTATTGAATCGAGTCCTTGGGCTATCAAGGCAATATTGCTAACTGTCCAATTCTTTCATATCAGCTATGGATTTGTCACACCTGTCATTTCCTCCATGGAAGTCCCACTACAGACAGTTACACATTCCTCAACAGGGTGGCGCTGTGTACCATATGTATGCATGAGCTCTCTCGCACACACTTTTACTCTCCAGGACCCTAAATCTAGCACCGCCATGTTTTAAAACGTCTCTCTCCTCTCACTCTCACAATGAATAATTCAAAGGCTCTGATGTAATTGTTCTTTATTTCGGTGGATAAATTCCCAGTTTTCCCCACCAGTGTTTGTGAAGAGATGATGGGACTGCTGGGGAGAGATTGCCATGAACCGCGACTTTGTGTGTGCGTATGACTGCTTAGTTCTTTTATTGACAAAAATACACCATGGGACGGACTGTGTAGATGGCTGTTATTCTAACTCTTCTGAATCTGAGCCATCACGGTGTATTTTTACTCTTATCATTGGTATACAAAGCTTCACTTCTAAAAACGTTTGAGAATTCTGGTGTTTTCAGTCATTTCACAGTGGAGCAAGCTGTCTGAGACAAATAGAGGCAATATTGACCAAGAACAGTCCAAATGCGTAACTTCAAGCTCACCAACTACACACACGCACGCACACAGGGCTTCTCCAAGAGCCAATGGCCATGGGGGGGTTCCAATTACTGTGGTGCATTGTGGGTTGTATTCATTCCCATTTTGCCCCTGGGGTACAGGGGTTGGCTTATTGTGTTGGAGGGATCTGTATGTGTTTGAGGAATCAGGGTCTGGGCTCCATTCCAAAGTCTCCTTGATGATTTGCTCCCCCAATAATGAAAGGACAAAGATAGAAAGAAAGACATGGTAGAAGCTCCGTTCACTATTGTGGGACCATAGCCTATTGTTGCCTTCTGTAGCGTATCTGTCAGAATTCAGATCTACCAGGGGTGTCATCAAGGGCAGAGGGAAGGCAGCAACTGTTTGGTTTGGAATGTAGCCCTTTGGAAGGAGATGTGAGGAACTCTCGCCAGAAATGGAACCAGGCCCTATGGGCCTCTGGAGCTGAGCACAGGTTTCAGTCCAAACTACTGCCCCATGTTTTGTGATTCTCTCTTGAGACCTCCCCTTAATCTCTCAATATACCTTACTATGACATATGCTCTCTGGTAGGGATATACTTGCATTTTGCTAATCATCGTTCAATGAGTACATTAACTTTGAATACATTCAACCAAAAACTGTTTTCTAGAACAGTTGCCAAAAGATCTACTCAAATTTAGGCTAACTTAATTTAGGAATGCTTAATCAGGTGGGGCCTGTAGCCTATAATCTAATCAGTCAATTAGCATATTTACAGATCCTGGGCTTTTGGGATTCATTCCTCAATGTTATTTGATTTAGACATTTTTGATTGGATAAATGTAATTAATCATAGTAACGCAGCGCAACCCCTGAGAGAGAGCGAGAGAGTGAGAGCCGATACACACACTATGCTTTCATGATGATAAGATGTTTTAGAGGAAGTGCCTCATATGTTTGAGGGTTACATCCGTAAGTGCACTAACAGCCTGCTAGATAATTTATCTGACGGTTTCACCACAGAGGTTCTAAACCTTACACTCCGCCACCCATGAGCCAAACAAACACGAAGCCCCCAAAACAACAGCATTCATGACCTACATTTGATCATTTAAGTAGTAGAGCATGGCACCCAGGGGACGGAGGAATCATACGGATAAGCTTGTAAAACGCTAACACATACATCATCGGTTCCAAGTAACTTGTTTCACATTCTGTGGGCTAACCAGGTCTGAAAGAGCGTGGACGTTCCGGGTTCAGTACCGGGTCGGTTGCATTGGTGTCGTGACTCAGATCACACAGTTGATGTCTATGGTCTGGTCGATGATTGAGGAGGTCAGTGTAGTTTCCTAGAATGAACACTAGCTGGAGCTCTGGCCTTGCAACTGTGTGTCCTATTAGTGGGGTTGGTCCTCATTGAATAAGTCCCTAAAACCTCTCTCTCCTCGCTCTCTCTCTAAACTTCTCAGTCACTGCTTCCACCCTGTATTGCTGCTCCAGATAAGGAATAAATATTTTGAAAATATAGCGATATCAGTTTCCCTCTGACGCCTGATTTAAAATGTCCTGCCCTGGGGCATAGAACAAACACAAACACACAAAGAGAGAGAAATTGGCAGGGTTTTTGGTGTCCAGCTGTGATCCAATCAGCTTTCCTTCAGCAGCACAGGCCGCTGGGAAACCTCACTGTAGCGATGGAGAGAATGAGAGAGAGAGAGGGGGGGGGGGGGGGGGTCTGAAAGGTCCAGTGGATGGGAAGGAAAACTGGGCTGACCTTGAGATGGCCTGAGCATGCAGACATGCACAGACAGACAGGCAGGCAGGCAGGCAGCCAGGCACGTAGGTCTGTGTGCTAATGTGGTCTGGATTCACTGACCTACTCACTGACCTACTCCCTGACCTACTGAATGACCTACTCCCTGACCTACTCCCTGACCTACTGACTGACCTACTCACTGATGTACTGACTGACCTACTCACTGACCTACTCACTGACCTACTGACTGACGTACTGACTGATCTACTCACTGATGTACTGACTGACCTACTCACTGACCTACTCCCTGACCTACTCACTGACCTACTGACTGTAAGTTTAATGGAGATTATGTCATCCTTCTAGGGATATTGGTGTTACTGTGACTGTCTGTGCCTGAATCTGATGGAAGCTGCAGCCTCAACTCCTCACCTCACCTCAACTCACATATAATATTACATTTACTCAATTCAATTTAATTCAATACATCCTCGCTTTCCTAATTTTTAAAAAGTGGACACATGGTCTCCATGCAGCGAAAATAAACACAGACACAAACACACACAGAGGACCTGGGTTAGCTGACCCGCTGTCTCCCACCGGTACCGTATGTGGAATGCTAAACTAATCCATCACAAATGGATAGTGAAGAAGGAAGAGTCTAAGTAATCCACTTTCACCTCTGTCACAAGATGAGTGTCACACGTGTGAAGGCATGAGATTCCGTTTATCACTTCTTCTTCTTCTTCTCTACAGCTACACAATACTGTTAAGAGTTGTACAAGAGGTGAGAAGACGGTGGGAGGAGGGAAAGAGAGAGGGAGACATATTTGATAACACCACCTCCATAACCTAGAGGATATCTCTCTCTCTTTTGACCTGGTTACACACACATACAGTTGAAGTCGGAAGTTTACATACACCTTAGGCAAATACATTTCAACTCAGTTTTTCACAATTCCTGACATTTAATCCTAGTAAAAATTCCCTGTCTTAGGTCAGTTAGGATCCCCACTTTATTTTGAGAATGTGAAATGTCAGAATAATAGTAGAGAGAATGATGTATTTCAGCTTTTATTTAGTTCATCACATTCCCAGTGGGTCATAAGTTTACATACACTCAATTAGTATTTGGTAACATTGCCTTTAAATTGTTTAACTTGGGTCAAACGTTTCGGGTAGCCTTCCACAAGCTTCCCACAATAAGTTGGGTGAATTTTGGCCCATTCCTCCTGACAGAGCTGGTGTAACTGAGTCAGGTTTGTAGGCCTCCTTGCTCGCACACGCTTTTTCAGTTCTGCCCACAAATGTTCTATAGGATTGAGGTCAGGGATTTGTGATGGCCACTCCAATACCTTGACTTTGTTGTCCTTAAGCCATTTTGCCACAACTTTGGAAGTATACTTGGGGTCATTGTCCATTTGGAAGACCCATTTGCGACCACATTTTCACTTCCTGACTGATGTCTTGAGATGTTGCTTCAATATATCCACATAATTTTCCTTCCTCGTGATGCCATCTGTTTTGTGAAGTGCACCAGTCCCTCCTGCAGCAAAGCACCCCCACAGCATGATGTTGCCACCCCCGTGCTTCACGGTTGGGATGGTGTTCTACGGCTTGCAAGCTACCCCCTTTTTCCTCCAAACATAACGATGGTCATTATGGCCAAACAGTTCTATTTTTGTTTCATCAGACCAGAGGACATTTCTCAAAAAAGATCAATCTTTGTCCCCATGTGCAGTTGCAAACCGTAGTCTGGGTTTTTTGTGGCGGTTTTGGAGCAGTGGCTTCTTCCTTGCTGAGCGCCCTTTCAGGTTATGTCGATATAGGACTCGTTTTACTGTGGATATAGATATTTTTGTACCTGTTTCCTCCAGCATCTTCACAAGGTCCTTTGCTGTTGTTCTGGGATTGATTTGCACTTTTCGCACCAAAGTACGTTCATCTCTAGGAGACAGAATGCGTCTCCTTCCTGAGCGGTATGACAGCTGCGTGGTCCCATGGTGTTTATACTTGCGTACTATTGTTTGTACAGATGAACGTGGTACCTTCAGGCGTTTGGAAATTGCTCCCAAGGATGAACCAGACTTGTGGAGGTCTACAATTTTTTTTCTGAGGTCTTGGCTGATTTCTTTTGATTTTCCCATGATATCAAGCAAAGAGGCACTGAGTCTGAAGGTAGGCCTTGAAATACATCCACAGGAACACCTTCAATTGACTCAAATTATGTCAATTAGCCTATCAGAAGCTTCTAAAGCCATGACATAATTTTCTGGAATTTTCCAAGCTGTTTAAAGGCACAGTGTATGTAAACTTCAGACCCACTGGAATTGTGATACAGTGAATTATAAGTGAAATAATCTGTCTGTAAACAATTGTTGGAAAAATTACTTGTGACATGCACAAAGTAGATGTCCTAACCATCTTGCCAAAACTATAGTTTGTTAACAAGAAATTTGTGGAGTGGTTGAAAAACGGGTTTTAATGACTCCAACCTAAGTGTATGTAAACTTCTGACTTCAACTGTACATACTCTCACAGCGTGGGGTTGTGTGTGTGTGTGTTTCCCTTTGTACAAGTGGCCCAC